CTGGGAAAAGCCCAAGTGTCCAGGTCCCAAAGCCTCAGGATCTGGCCTCCTTTCCTCCAGCTGCTGAGCCTCATCTCACTCTCAGGGTCTGTGTCCACAGTCAGGACTTCCCAGCCCCAACTTGGGGTAAGGCATGTTCTGTGTCTGTCCTCCCAGAGGGTACCATGGCCATGTGTGAACTTGGAGTACTTGGGATGTGAAGGATCAACCTTATCTCATTGTAGCTAATCCCAATGCAGACAGCTATGGACAGCTGTCAGCTGCCTTGAGCTGTGTGGGACCCACAGCCTAAGGCCTATAGATGCCAACTGATCCTAGAAGGCACTGCCCCATGCCCAGGTCACTGCAGGATTCTCCTGCGGCCTAAAGGGAACCAATCCGCACTGGACCTTCACATTATCCTCAGGCCTCAGCAGGGGCCTGCTTTCCACAAGCTTCCTCTCAGACCCCATGTCTCAACTTCTGCCACTCCCCCTCTGGGTGTAGCTCTCTCAGGTCCACTCCCACACTGTCTCAAGCTTGCTCTCATTCTGCACATGCCTGTGAGCAGCAACCACAGCGGCCCTAGTGGGCTGCATGCACCGCCCTCCCTCCCCCAACGCAGCAGGATGTTCAGAGAGCAGCTGGCGTGGACTCACATCCAGGGTCAGCACCCTGCGGCTTCCCCGTGAGCTCCGGGACTGAATCATGTCTGTATTCCCAATACTTGGCGCCAGGCCAGGCTCAGAGCCGGGTGAGTGTCTGTGGAATTAGTTAAATGGGCATCTCTGCGGGAGGTGGTCACGGGCAACACAAGCAGCCATGGGCACACCTGGAAGGCTCCTGTCCAGGAAGCAGGTTGAAATTTGTTGCAAAGAACCTACATTGGGGATATGTCCACTGGAACCGACCTACCCTGCTAAATGTTCTCAAAGCTGCTGCCAGGGAAGTGTGTCACTGTCTCCTATGAAATTCAAGAGCTAAGACATGGAAGGGGTCTGGAAACCTCTTCTTCCAATGCCCTGTTAACAGGTAAATTTCAGTCCCCACGAGGGAGGCTTTACTGGTGGTTGGGGAGCTGTGGACACACTAGAGTTCCCCAAACCAGCTGTCCACTGACCGAAGTCCACGTGTCACCTACCCCACCGTTCCCTTAAAATATGGTTTCTCAATACTTAAATTTAAATTCTGCACCAAAAGCACAAGGAGTAACAACAACAAAAAAAATCGGATATCCTAAAAACTCAAAGCCTGTGCCTCACAAGCCAAACATATCCGTTAAGAGTCTTGTATCCACAGTATTTAAAGAACTCTTAGCACCTGCTAAAGAAAAGAGAAACAAGCCAATCTGAGGACGGCACAAATTCTGAAGAGAAGACACCAGGATGGCCAAGGAATTCATGAGAAGACACTGGACACGGTTTGTCACTGTGGAACTGCAAGTCAAACCACCACATACCCACACAGGCAGCAACAGTCCGAAAGACAGATAACAACACGTCACAAAGTCATGGAGATGCCGGAGCCTTATGCTTCGATGGCTGGATTTAAAATGGCACAGCAGCTGCGGGAACCAGACTCACTCATAAGAGCATAGCTGTCCTGTGACTCAGCAGCCTCCTAGGCACACATCCAGGGGAACTAAAAACGTGTGTCTGTGTAACACTCAAGTGTGAGTGTTTGGAGCAGTGGGATTAGTTACAGACAGCGAAGACAGCCCAGATGCGACAGACAATGGGTAAACAAATGTGGTTCATCCGTACAATAGAATGTTATTCGGCAACCAAAAGGAACGGAGCCCCAGTGTGTGCCACAGCAGGGCTGAACTTTGCAAACTCTGCATCATGTGAAACAAGCCAACACAAAGCACTGCACACCCGCCGTGTGATTCCAAGTCTATCACAAAAATCCAGAAGATGTGGAGAAGTGGAAAAGAGGTCCTAGTGGTTGTTTGGCCGGGGTAGGGGGTAAGGGGGATGGAGGGACGATGGCAAGATTTTAAGGAATTTCTTTTTGGAAAAATGAAAAATTGATGAGAATTGTCTGTGGGAGCCAGGTATGGCAGTGCACACCTGGAATCCCAGCACTCTGGGAGGCTGAGGCAGGAGGATCTCAAGTTCAAATCTAGCATGGGCAACTTAGTGACTTTGCAAGATCCAGTCCCAAAATAAAAAATAAAAATGGCTGCAGTATACCTCAGTGCAAAGGACCCAGGTTTAATCTCCTATGCCTCACACATGTTAAAACAAGTGCCCGTGGGGATGTGTAGATGGATCTGTCAACATACCAAGAGCTATTAAACTGCAGACTGTCAGTGAATGGTAAGGTCTGTGCATTATATCTCAATAAAGCTATTTTCTAAAAGCTTAAACACTCCATTTTAACCCTAAAGCAAGAATATCTAGGTGCTCATGGGGAATGTGCCATTCAAATGTTTTCCAACGCATATTAAGTACGCATCCACTGACTTCCGGTGGTTTCTCTCCCATCCTGTCCATCATACTCTGTCCCCGCCCACTTACCCGCGTGAAGATCCCCCATGGAAAACACTATGTCCATCTAATTAATTCATGGCTCTATACTGAGAACTTAGGAGGCGATTACGAGCTACTGGGAGAAAGTCCTTTCTTACAGAGAACTGGTAATCATGGATTTTAATTTCTTAATGCTATGGTCATGAACCATAGCTGTTTTTGCATTCAACACAGCCACAGGGGACAAGAACCCTGCAGTCAGCAGCCTCAGGCCCTGGCCTGGCCCGAGATCATCAGGGTGTCTGGTTGGTGGCAACTAGATATCATAGTCTACAACAGACTCAGCATTTGGGTGGGTGGAGAAGGGTCTCAGGTGCCCAGAAATGCCCGGACCTCACCCAGGGGGAACAGCAAGATGACCAGGTCAGGGACAGCTCTGGGGATTGTGGCAGTGCTCACCAGTGGTGGAGGAGGTATATTGGCTCTGAGCTCCAGGCTGTCCCCTGACATGGCAGCATGCAGCCATTCCTCAGCTCTGACATGGGGACAACACAATACGCAAAGGCCTGTGCGGTTGTGGGGTGTGGGGAGCCTGGCAGAGTTCAGTATTGGCACATGTGCTACTGCAGAGTGTAGCAGATGTTCTGGCTCCTTGTTGAGGAGAATCTGGGTAACACGGCCTCAGGCAGGGACGAGACCAGGACCAGAATCCAGAATCATTTCCCTCCCTATAGGACAGGGCCTTCCCTTCCTGAGACCTGGACCACAGGAACTCTCCCAGATGAAATGTTGGCTAGATTGGAAGATGTGCCCACCAGACCCGAGGCATTTGTCTCCAGGAGCTACGCCCTTGGAGCACAGCTGAAAGGCAGGTGGAGACACTGTCATTTTCCACTACTGTTTTCCATATCCCGGTCAGCAGCCACCTGTCCAGGTTCATTTGTCACCTGGTGGGCTCTGGCCCTTTAGCACCTCTGCATGTCACAGGAATGAAGGGCTTTAAAACAGTCTCCTCACAGGGCTACAATCTTATGTCTGACCCTTCTCAACCAGGGATGGGGAAAGGGGGGTAGCGAAGAAGCCCGAGGAGCCTCATGTCCCTCAGGAAGCCCCTCCAGGACATCCTGTAGGAATACACACCTGCCCAGCCATGTTCCTGTTAGGCTGCAGAGATGACTCTTGCCTTGCTCATGAGGGTCCAGGCAGCACAAACCAGGCAGGTACCTGAGCTCCCCGAGCTGCAAAGGGGTGATGTCCAACCATGTGCCTGCTTTTAGGCTGGAACACCCCAGGACATGGGAACTCCACGTTCACAGAGATGGGAAGGAAGCTCTGTGATCATACAGCCCCCAGGCATGGTGGCCCTAGCAACATGCCTGCTGACACAAGGCAGTACATGAGGTTGTTTCAAGGGCTCAGGCCACATTCCCTAGGGTTCTCTCTAATTCCGAGGAGCAGCCTGTCCTCAGCCTATGGGAACAGTGGCTCTCAGCCCCACTCCTGCACCCCTGTGTCTGGGGCTGGCCAGGTCCTGGGGTGGACATCTTCCCCTCTTTGAGTCTGTCTGGGTGTTCAGAAAAAGTATCTTAAATGTTTTGAAGCTTATTTCCATCATTTTTAAAATTTGAACATAACAGGGTGTTAAAAAAAAAAAGAGAAAAGAAAAGAAAAGAAAAACATTCTATTTCTGACTTATCTTAAAAATTAGAAATCAGGCCAGAAGGCAAAGATCTGGTGAACCCAGAGGCAACCAGCCCTCCAGCGGGACTCATACACTCTAGGGCCCAGCCCAGCCTGGCCCACCCTGGCCTAGCCAGCAGCCTCACACTTGAGACAGGCATGGGCTCATGGCACCTGGGTTTGCCAGCTGTGCTTTAGACAGCAAACTCTCACACTGGTGCCACCATAACACTGTTTGGACTATAGTAACAGAAGACATGGAACAGTCTTGGACAACATGGGATAGCCAAGCCCCATGGTGGTCAGAGTGGACGTCACAACCCGCAGAAGCACATCCTGAGCTTCCTGGGAATTCTTGTGTTACACTGTGCCCTGACACTGACTTTAGTGACACGGTTTGTATTCTATCTATGACAGGGCAAACTGTAGGCAGAGGGTCGACTCCTGCCATCACCTGGTTTTGTAGTGACATTTCATTGGCTCTTGGCCTCTGTATCACTCCCAGCTGCCCGGGTGAACACAAGAGGCCATGCCATACTGCCAGAGACCCCCCGACAGGGACATCCTTCATGGAGTTGCCTCCTGAGGCTACAGGGGAGTACACAAGCCCTCTCCAGGGAGGCTGTCTTTGGGGCTCAATCTCTTGTTAAAAACATAAGCCTCACTGGGAAGAGCGGCCAGCCAACTCTCAGGCCTGCATCACAGATGAGTGAGGATGGTGTAAGATAAAGAGAGGCTGACTCTGGAGGCCTGCTCAGCTAGCACCCACAGTTCACCGTAACCCTCCCTGGGAGGAAACACTGTCCTTCCTTGTGTCTGCACACCGCACCCAGCCTCACACCCAACCCCAGGACGATGGGCACTTACTTCATGGGCTTGAACAGTGCTTGCCCGTAATTCTGGAACGTCATGACGAGCTTGAGCTGCGTGCCCCCTGACTTCATGGCTGCAAGAAGGAGAGAGAGAGAAGCAGGGTCACTGGCTGCCTCAGGTCCCTTGCTCTTGGGTGGGCCAGGAGCTCCCAACCAGGTCATCTGCATGAGGTCAGGAGCCCATTCTGCCTGAGAGATTTGGGGCTTCGGCACTGATGCTCCCTGGTTAAGACAGGGCCTCCTGACTGCTAGCCCAGCAGACTCTGCAGGTCAGACCCATAGACAAAGGGCCCAATTCTGAAAGGGTCAGGCAGGTTGCTAGCACAGGCATGCATGTTCATGCATGCACATGCCCACACACATACACACCTACCCACATACACATACCCTACATACACACCTACACACAGCTGCATGGACACACAGATGCCTACACATACACACCTGTGCACACACCCATACCCTAGTGCTGGCCTGACGTCAGGGAGCAGTTCCTGCAGGGCACATTTCTGGATTCAGAGCAAAGTCACCCTGAGGGACCCTAAACACTCTTAGGCTGGAAGCATCTCTGTCACAGGGGTGGTAGGTATGGAAGCCCACAGATTTCTGGCACCTCACCAGTTCAGGAGGATAAGCATAAAGAATTCACAAAAGGGCCCCACTTTCCCAGGCCTTGGATTTCTTTTGCTACAGAAGGAGGAAGAATTTCCCAAAAGGTCCTCATTTCCCAGACCCTGGATTTCCCTTTCTGCGGACAGATCAGGAGGATGGGTCAGGAGGAGGGCATCCTGCCCTGGGGCCACACTGAGGCCAGTTCAGGGGATGGCTGAGGCCATGCCCTCCTCAGGAGACAGCAGCCATACACTTCACACCCACCCAAATGCAGGATCTAACCAAGGCCCAGACCAGGCAGGTGGACAATAATGCCACCCTCCTAACTGGTGTCTCGGAATGCCCCGTGGCACAGCACAGTGTTTGTAACCTGACTGTGAAGCAACTTATGAAGCATTTGTACACTATGAGCCATTTTCTGAAAACGGTGGACACCACGTATGGGCTTTTAAACCAGGACACGCACAGGCGCCCAGAGCCCCACTTCTGTCCCAAGTGTTGCTGTAGATGACTTATACTTTCTATTTTTCCTTATCTGTGCTTTCTAAATTTCTGCAACAAATAAGTACTACATTTTTGGTAAGGTTAAAAAAAGAATTTAAAAACTAGTGGCCTGATGAAGCCCCTTTCCATGGTCCCATTTCCATTTAATAACTGGGCTTGCTAGACTTAATTATCCCTTCCTGGGTCAACTGGGGACAGCATGTCCAAGTGACAGCATCTCTCCAGGGACTGTAATCCTAGTTTTTAATAACAAAATATTATGCAAATCTGATCAGTTTAATTACTCTTGCTCTGGAAGCAAATCCTAGTTTCTCTCTCTGACCTTATATATAGCCAGCTCCTCCTTGAGGGCAGAAAAGCAATTTGGAATCAAAGGCGCTAAGCCTCACGGTGCTCACAGGCCCCAGGACTATAGACTGTCTCCTCACCAGAGCAGTCACCATGCATCCATAGGTGTCTGTGGCTGGAATGGGGACCCTGGGGTGAACTCAGGGCCTCATAAGCTGACACATGCTGCCTGGAGCTGCAGCAGAGGCCTGCAGATGTGGCCAAGGTGGGTAAGAGATGCAGGATCCCCCAGCCTGTGTGCTGTGTGGACTGTCCCCACCATGCCCCAAGGACACAGGCCCTGCCAGAGCAGTCCTCAAGAAAGAGCACACAAAGTTGAGTTTTCCTCTTGAGGACAGAGAGAAGTCAAGGCAGGAGGAAATCTCTGCATGTTACTGGGGACAGAGGTGGTTCTGGGAGAAACCCAGGGACCGGCCCAGGCAGGAAAGGTGATGCAGGCACCCTCCATGTTTGTCAGTGGACGGAAGTCAGCCATGGACTCAGCCTAGCAGAAACCCCACCAAGGCCCAAGAAGCCTTGCAGCCACCCAGCAAGGGAGGTTGCACCTCTGGGAGGTTCCCTCCCTACCCTCTGTGTCCCACCTTCCATCCCCCCTTCCACCCCACTGAGGCCCCCACAGAACTACACCACCATAGTCTAACAGTCACTCGCACCAGACACTCGAAGGTCTGCAGGGTCCCCTTGGTGAAAGCCACCTACAGCTCATGCACAGGAGGCTCTGCCTTTGCTGTTCCCATGTTCCATGGACCAAAGGTATCAGCTCTGCTCTGCACCTTCCTTGCATCCTGAGCACCTGTCTAGGTTAGTAGCACGTCTGGTTAACAGTGCTCACATGTCTGCATGCATCTACCGAAACACACTGACAAATGCCAGCAGAGTACCCTGCACCTGTCTCACGGTGCCCCTCAGCTCTGGTCCCAAGGCCACCATGATGCTTGGGCACTGCTGGGTTTGCTCACTGTGCTCCCCCAGAACACAGCATAGAATGAAAGACCCTCTCACATGCAGTACAGAAACCTGAGAGAGTGCTTCGGAATACAAACTTGGTATGCAGAAGTGTTACTGTCATTATGGAAGTGCTAAGGCACTTGGGCACCTGCATGACTGTGGATGAGTTACTTACCCTCCCCATGCCTCAAGGAAGGACAGGGAGGCTGAGTGGCAGGAGATACGGAATCAGCAACTCTATCAGCTCCTCATGTGTCTATAGGCACAGTCACACCCCATGATGCCCACAGGGACAGGATGAAACTGGGTATGCATGATGATCGAAAGCCACCAACAATGATCGAAAGCATCAACAATCTCCTGCTCTCTAATAGGAACCCCAGCTGTACTCTGAGGGGCTGCCTCTTGACTTTTATTTAAACTAACTCCATTTTTGAAAGATCTGTGGACCATACAAGAAACCTACATGGGAGATGTAGCCCAGTGCTCAGCAGAGGCCAGGCTTGGCCCTCTTATCTGGGAGGTGAGACTGTGTCCTTGGGCCACCATGGGGAGGGGAACTGTTTCCCACCCCACTGTCTTGTCTGAGAGGGAAAGGGACAATTGACGGCATTTGTGCCATGAAGAGGGCCTCTCAGAAGGCTCGCATTGGGAGAAAGTGACACCCTATTCTTCCCATCCCACTCACACATCCCTGGCGAGACAGGAGTCTTGTGAGTGGCCCACATGCTGGGCAAACACAAAGCCCCTATGCCCACTGCCCTGAAGCCTTAGGAAAGCATACAGGGTGTGTCTGTCCACCTGTCATCAGCAATGGGCACCCTGGATGGCATTGCAGGGGCCTGGACTGTGGGCATCAGTTCAGATATGAGGGTCCAGGATGGGCTGAATGGGAGCTGACACAATTGGGTCTTCTTGTCCCCAGCTCTGACCTGGAGGCTCCAACCCAGGGACAGTGGTCAGTGGGTCCACACCTCAGCTGGCACATACCCTAGGGCTGCTTTTGCCCTGGCTGCCTCCAGCCTAGAGCTTTGTGTGCCACACCTGCCTCTAAGAAGCTGGTTTTTGAAAGTAGAGTCACCTTTGGAACTGGGCACCACAGTGCTGCCCAGGGGATCAAGAGCCATTGGAACACTTTTGCAGGTTTGGGCCTGCTTTCAGCCTTAGCTGTCTGTTAAGCATGGAAAAGGCAGGTGTCAGCGTGACCCTGGGTCCTCCACAGCATGGGCTTTTGCTTCTGATCTTCCGTCTGATGGCTGGAAAAGGAGCTAAGCAAGACTGAGCTGCTTCTGTGACCACAGCCACCACCTTCCAGGACCTTTGTCCTTTGGAGGATCTGAGGCCCCTCTGGCCTCATAGGAGTCTGGATACTTGGGCATCTTCAATCCCTCCCCTGGTCAAGCCAGGTGCTGGATTGTGAGCTGCAGCTGGGGTGAGCATGACAGAACTGTGGCCTTTATGGGCTGGCACCGCCTTCTGAAGAGACCCACCTCCATCTAGTCAGATAGGGCAGCTGTGCCCAGCGCTGGCACCCACAGCTGCTCCTCATGGGGCTGTCCCAGCCAAAGGCCCTTTGTTCCTCGAAGCCCAAAGCCAATTATCCTGGATTCCAACTCGTCCTCTTCTTTCCCTTGGCAGATCAATTAGCACCGGGGACTTCTGCTCTTTGTTCAGTTGTGTTCTTTCAGCCACGTTCTCTGAGCCACGGGCTTTGTCCTGACCTGGATGGAAGATGGTGATGTCTCTGCTTGGGCCAGAGGCTGATGGATCCTCACACTCTGATGTGACTTCTTTTATTTTTAAAAAAGTAATTCCAAGTAGAGTAGTTAATTGTGTCATTTATTCTTTGCATACATAATTGTGCATGATAGCGATTTAATTATCACTGGCCCGGAGTGGAAAGCGCTGCATGCCTGACTTCAAGCTGAGCAGAGGTGGATCCTATGTCGGTCCTCTTTAAAGGCGGCAACAGCCGGTTTCCAGGCAGCCAGGAGTCTGGCTATAAATAAACCTCTGTTGGCCATAACCAGCTGTGCTGTGGCCACAAAGAGCCTCCTGGATTGGAGTGAGTGACTCTGAGCAGGGGAGATTTAATGGAACCATTCTGAGAGGGCTCAGCCTGCCAGCATCCTTTCCCATCATATCTCCAGGCTCATGTTTAACAGTGGGGTGAACAATTTCAAGAGTAAGCACTGCCCCAAGCCAGACCAATGAAGGGCTGCTGCCATGGGCCAGCCTCCTCTCCTGGAGGTCTATTTCCCTGGCTGTAGAATGGAGGCTGGAAGGCAGGGCTGGTCTCACAGCAGGCCCCGCATAGCCGGGTCTCGCCCTGCCTTGTGAGGGCCCAGCTCAATGTGCACCTGAAGGCTCTGACCAGCTCTTCCTACACAGAAAGGCCCTAGCAGAGTTAGGCCGGCAGGGGCAGCAGGAGTGGGGCCATGAAAGGGAGCCACCTCCAGGAGGGCCTGTGCTCTCTGGGGTCACTGCAGTGAGCTGGACCAGCCCTCTTTGGGCTACTCCCTGCAGAGCAGGATAACTGGGCCTGGGCCTCAGGTGGCTGCTGCAAACTGCTCCGCCCAAGATGAGGACCTACCGCCTCTTCAGGAGTGAGGCCTTCCTCAGGGTGTGCCCTCCTCCTCAGCAGGGCCAGGTGAGGCCCTGGGCAAGTACAGGAGTGTGCCCAGCCCTGCTTACCTAGGTGAAGGGGCTCAGCCTGCCTGAAACACTACAGCTACCAGGCTTCATTCTTATCCTGTATTCACTTGTTCCCACTGACACCTCTCTGCACCAGGGCAAGTGTCACAGGGCCCCCTCTGTGGGACAACAGTGTCTGGGGATCAAGATGGGGAAGCACTCAGGTGTACACGCTCTGCCTGGCACAGACTGCCACTTGGAGGGGGAAGAACCCAAACACACAATCCTCATAGAACATGTGCAGATGGCAGCATCTACAAACACCTTGGCAATCTGGTTTTTGTCCCAGAACACTTGGGCCTCAGAGGGCTTTACTGCAGCCTGGCTCTGTCTGGGTTTCAGAGTCACAGCGGGCAGTTATAGGCCTGGGCTGTAACATCCCTACTCCAGGTGAGAAGCTATGGTAGCAGGGTTCACCCTTTTGACTCAGCTCATTCCAGCTAATGACTAGGAGACCCAGGGTCACTACTGTTGGCCAGCATTCCATATCCTGCCTCTGCCATAGGCCTATCGATCCACTTTCCACACCTGCTGAACCCCTACAGAATGATGGTCCCTTCCCATCCTGGGAATGACCCCATCCAGGAATGTCTGAGTGGAACTACCTTTGGCATCATAGCTTAGGGGATGACTGTGTGGCATGCAGTACCGAGCTGATGCCAGGGTGTCCTGCTACACAGGCCCAGGGCACGGCACTGGGGTCCCATGGCAATGGGAGCTGTCCACTGCACTGTGATCAAGGCCAGGCCTGTGGAAAGGGAAGGAGGATTGCTAAGGTGGGCAAAGCAGCTGGTCAGGCCCTGGAGGTCCAGCCTCTTTCTACTCCCTGAGTTTTTGGGCCCAGAGCCCTGCACCTCTGCACAGAGCAAGGCCACCCCTGGGACCCTTGCAGCCCTCTGCCCACCTGCCTGCTGGCCTGTGCACACTTCCACAGCTGCAACACATCCTCATGGGCACATATGCCTCTCCTTCCTCCTAAATGCCAGGCCCACAAAGGCAGTGTTGTTTGTGGAGGCTGGACTCACTCCAACTCCCCACCACCCAGAAAGAGGTTCCCAGTGGTATGTGCTAAAGGGACAATCAAGCTGGTCGTACATTTCTTTAACAATGTACCTACTCTCCAGAGCGAGAGGGACATCCTGATGTGGCCTAAGCATTGCTCCCAACTTGGCCTGAAGCCCCTGGACTTCCAAGGGAGCAGAGCAGGGAGGGGTGCCTTCCTCCTGGCAGGAGTGGGGAGAGGAGAGACCACTAACTGCTCCGGCCACTTCTTTACCAGGTGACCTGACTGCATATCAGAAGCTTTGTGTCTTAACTTCCACAGCCAGGTGAGAGCCCAGCAAAGAGCTCAGTGGGAAGCCACACACAGCCCCTAAAGAGGCAGCTGCTAGGCACAGGTAACTCCCTGCCTATGCTGTATTTGGACAAAAGCCCGTAACCCTGTAGCTGGAGGTAACCCTTGCAGCAGAACTTCAGACATGGAGACAGGAACTGTGGCCGTGACACAGGGAGGCCTCCCCTCTACACCAGGGTTGTGTGCTGCAGGCCATTCCTGGGAAGCCCAGGGCCCTGAGCTCATGGAGAAACCACAGTGATTAATGGGACATTCATGACTGTCCACAACTGGACAGCAATAGCACCAAACCTCGCACTGAGATGCTGCCTGAGACACTCCTGAAATTAGAAATGGATGCCCCTTTCATGCGATTCAGCAGATCACAAAACATTTGATGCTGCTGCCTTCATACTGCTCTATCCCAGATCACCAGCACCGTCAAAGAAGACGCAGCCCTGGCCACTCCCTGTCATCTGGCTGGAGCTCCCAGGGGAGCCGGATCAGAAAGCAGAGAGCCCTTGAAAAGGCTCTGAAGAAGGACTGCAGCCACCAGGAGTATCCCTCCATTGGCCTCTGGAGGATGGAGTCCTGGTGCCCTGACCAGTGCCCCTCCCAGCAGCTGTGGTGATATCTTACTGGCCTGCTCACCTTGCAGCAGACAGCAGCATTTCCAATGCCAAGATCACCCAGGCCATCATCCACACAGGGCTCTGTCCCCGCTGCAACTGGCTTGGGAAGGAAGCTCCGGCTATGAGCAGGGCTGCCCAGGTCCCTATGGGAAGTCACACATCTCAGCCAACACAGCCTGCTGTGGGCACCAGGGCACCTACCCACACTGGTGATCTTCTGTGCACCTAGGTCCTGCAGCAGTGCGTCAATTGCTGGGTTGTGCCTGGAGTATAGCTCGTACCGGTTAATGCCAATATGGAACTTGAGCCAATTGGGGTAGGAATCCACTGTGGTCTCTACAGTGGGCAGGAATTCTCCACCTTCAGCACCTTCATGTGGCCTACAGAAACAAAGAGGGTCCAAAGTCAACCAAAAAAGACACTGAGCCAGAAGAGCTAGTCCCGAGTCAGGGCCTGTGACCTCCACTTAAAATGCAAACATGAGGAAGTGCCTCTGCTCAGAGACCCTGCAGCCTCTGCACTTTCTTTGGGGCTGTGGTTCTACCAAGTAATAAGTAATAACACACCTGAGGCCTGTAATTCTCATCTACCCTGGAGATGCCACAGACAGCTATAACTATAGGAAGACTAAACCCAGAGTGTCAGCGCTATCCTCATCGTGTCTGTTCCGGGGTCACCAAAACTGCTCGACAGAATGACGTCAGCTGGGGTGCAGGGCTGCTGGCTCTTCTTGGAAGCAGACAGGAGGCCCTCTCTGACCAGATGCCTAGTGGTCACAGGCACACCCAGTCACCAGGAATATTTCTAGTCTCTGCTTTTGTTCCAACCAACAGTCAGGAATGATACAAGGGGCTAAATTTGATTTTAACACTAGCAGACTTAGGTGGGGAGTGAGGGAAGAGAGACAGCTACTCACCCCAGCCCAGGCTCAGAGGGAGGACCTGGGCCTGTATGGCCTGTCCTCCCTTTCCTGCTCAGGGGCTGGTCTGGAGGAAGGAAAGACCCTCAGTCTGCTTGCTGGGCTGGGGGAAAGTAGTACTTTCTCATGTCCAAGTCGCTCACAGGTCAGGCCCTTCTGGCCTCAGTTCAGTCCTGAACACACAAAGATGGGCTAGAGGCCTCCCAGGAGCCATCCCCTGACTACTTGCTTTGGGATACTCCTCTGCCGTAGAGAGCCACAGGCCTGGACCAAGTTTCTGAGAATTTTTTCCAATCGGACCAGCAAAGCTCAGAGCCACCTACAGCCCCTATGCAGGCACAAAGCACAAGGCCAGGTCAGATTTCAGGGGAGGAGGATTTTCATGGAGGGTTTTGGTAGCCTGGCTTTTCCTCTGTTGCTTGGGTAACCTTTGCAGGTAGTTACAGTATTTGTTCTGACCTTGCTGGAAGTTAATATTTCACTGCTCTGGGCTGAAGCATCTGCTTATTCGGATCTGTGCATGAGGAAGGGCCTCGGGGGAAGGGCAAAGCAGGGCAGCTCCAATGATGCTCCTCTGCTAGCAGCTCTGTGCTTGTTACAGAGCTGTGCCAGCCCAGGGTGGCTGCCCACTGTCCATACCTCTGCCCAGAGGCCTCTGTGCTCTGCTTGTTGTTGCCAGCACACTTCTCTGCTAATTCTGTCCTCAGAGGCTGCTTCGAAAGACTTGTTAGGCACATGCAGGCCTTCTAAGGTGTCTAACAGAAAAGCTTCACCAAGTACCTGAAATCCAAAGCTGAATGTGTTCCTGGATAAGGTGGTTCTCCTCGGTAAAGCACGGGATCCCGGGCACATTCATTTATGGCCGGTTTCCCCACCAGTGGCCAGCTCCATTCCTTACAGTGGAGCACTATGCTCCCGGGTTCAGAGTCCAGTCACCTTGCACCCCAGGGTGCAGGGCACCTCCCAAGCTGCCACACCCTTCCCCCCTTCCCCGGGGGAAGCAACTGGAGACAAAGGCAGCCCCTCCCACAGGGGCCCTGGACCCAGACAACATAATATCCTGGTGGAAGAGCCTTTGTGGGGAGCACCTTTATTCCGAGAGGGTCCCAGCTTTCTCGGAGTTGGGGCCTGCCAGTCCAACCCACCATCCTTGCTCACCAGTCCGGGTTCTCCGCCGCCTTGGGGTTGAACCTGATGTCGCTGTTGACATTAAACAGGACGTCGTCTTCAGTCAGCTGTGGGATAGCCCCGCTATACAGAGGGTGTGCAAACAGCTTGGCCACTAGCGAGCTGTCCCCGCTTGGGCCCGGGGGCGGTGCCGGTCGCCGATGCCCGGGGTCG